AATTATACGAGTTGATCAAGGTAAATAAAAAGCATCATATTAGATACAACTTTTATGAGGTTCTGCTTGAAGACGGACTTAACGTTTTGCGATTTCCACCCTATCATCCGGATTTGAATTCCATTGAACTCATTTAGGCTACTGTCAAAAACAACGTGTCCCAAAAGAATGTAACTTTCAAGTTGGAAAAAGTATGTGAGGAAACTGGCGAAGCACGAGTTTGATCAAATCATTTCTGAGGAATGGCAAAAGCGTTGGCGACATGTAGTAGATAAAGAACGGAAATATTGTTAAAATGAAACATTTAAACAGAGGTGAATCCGGTGATTTTGAATTTGAACGATGATGGCAAGACAAGCAACAGTGAAGATGAAGAACATTTGTATTCAGATAGTGACTTATTGAAGTGTTTTTTGGATAAGTGTGTCATTATATAACATTTCATTGAACTATACTTCCACCTACAATACTGAATAAAATATGAAAAGGAATTACAAAGAAGTCATGTTTGCTACCCTAATTAAAACTAATTATAGATACGACACTGGCCGGCAAGGGGCTCATCGTAATCCAATAGTAATTTAGTTGGGAGAGTCTATACCGCGCGATCGCTCGCCTTCAGCCGTTGCGTGTACTGTAGCTGAACTTTATAGATTCAGAGTCAGTGGCATAGATATGGTGACTATACAGCAATTAAGTTCAAAAATGTGTTATGATATTCGTCGCTATTTGAACGAACTTTGAAATATTTTTTGGAGACTATAAGACTTTTTACACATAATTAACACATTTATTTGGTAAAATCCTGTCTCCATCTGGACATCTGGTCCACCCCGGCCTCCAACCGGCGTGAATGATGACAGGAGTTATGTACATCGACTATAACACTCCCACGTGGACGTCCGATCAACCCCGGCCTCCAACCGGCGTTATCGCTACTGGGAAACGAAGCAAGTTAGGACACACGTTCATATGAACTTTTTTCATAAATTATGACAAGTAACCATCACCTGAAATTAATGACATCATTTAAGATAAACACTGTATTTGTATATAACATACCTAAGGAAAAATAGTCCTTAAACAACTAGCTTCAGTACCGGATAAGAGAAAATGGAAAAACGGTGGAAACTGAAGCTATTTATCATTTAATGAATCAAGTTTCGGGTATCAGGTTTGGCAAACATTTATCCAATCCATTAAGTAGATGAAGGATGAAGTGTTATTTTCCAAGAGATTTGTGTACTTGATATATCCGTCGCATTTAGCCTTGCTCCTAGACATTTATTCTGGTTCAAGGACACAGGCAGCCACAGACGCTTTATGAAACTACATTTAGGATTATACATTATACCCTGCGAACTTTACTTCTTAACTTATATTCTCTAAACTTTCGAACGGGGCAATATATCAAGATCAGGCAAAATTCACGTGAAAAAGCATAATTTTGAATGATCCTTGATAATGTGTATTTTAAACAACTATTACTGCACTATCGCAGATTCATCAACCTCAAATGCAACAGAGAAGTATCCAATGTGTTATATGCAAGACATACTTGTGACTGAAACATTCCCCTTGCACCCCACCAGTGCCACCGAGTTCCGAGAAATATTCCGTGAAGTAAAAAATAAAAGAAGTACTGGTATTGACGACAAAGTATCCCTGTAGGATCCTTGATAACCCTAGCCGAAGCAATAAATATTTCGTTTGACAGTAGTGTGTTTCCATCATACCTAAGAACAGCAGTTATCATTCCAATTTACGAAGGTAGAAACAGTGAAGATCAGTCGAACTTTCGTCCAATTTCTTCATTATCAGTTCTTTCTAAGGTCATACAAAAGCTGGTCAAAAAAGGATTCTGCAGTTTTTGCAAGGCCAAAACATCTTAAATGGGCCCCAATTTGGACCTGACTCTAAGAAACATAAGCTAAAAGAATCAGCGTATATTCTCATATCTGGAGAGAATTATATTTCGAATAGTTCCTTAGAAATAGATCATACTTGGCTACCCATCTTGAAGGAAAATTTGGATAGTGGCGAAATGTCAGTGGACTAATATTGGAGAGCCTTGTATTACATCGAATGTTTCAGTTGTTCAGTTGTCAACATTGACAAAATTTCACATTTCAAAATACCTGTGACATCTGTCGATGAAGTTGAGAAATAAATAATCAGCAAAGGAATAACTGAAAATATATTCGAATTTTGTGAAGACGTAAGTAGATTTTGGCCTCCGAAACGTTCAGATAAGAATTGTATTTTTTTTATATTATTTCAATAAACATTTTAATAATATCAAAATACGACAAGTTACTGAAAAGAAGAACATTTTTCGTTGTGAAAAATACTTTGATTTTACACAGTAACTTATCGGAGTGAACTGAAAAGTTTACCCTTTGTCCACCTGTATGAAGTTCTCCATTATAATTTTCATATTTTTCAGATTATAGAAGGTAAAATAACCCATGAAAGGTCGATAAAAAACAGATTTTCCTCCACAAAAAATGACTTTTTTTGAATATACAAAATATTGTTGTTTATTATTAATTTTAGTGGAAGTCAAATCTATAAAATTCATTTATTGCTTTGTTTCCATTTCAGTGGTGGAAGGAATTGACAAAACTGTCCAACTGCCTATATGTACCAATATAATGAACTGTTATCAACTGATTTTTGTGAATTTAATAACCAAAGAAGGAACGAAACTTTTCATCAAATTAAAAATAATTTTAAGACGGACAAATGGTATATACGAGGTCTGTTCAAAAAATATGGTGAATTTTCATCTTTCTCAAAAATTGTTTATTTGTTCATCAATTTCTATTTCGTCCCCTTAAAAGTAGTTCCCGCCAGATATAATACGTTTGTGAAAGCGTTTTTTCCAATCTTCGAAACAGTAATATAATCTGATATACGCTTTTTGGTATGTTCTTGAGCTCTCTCAGAAATTGGTTTTTGGAACAAACGCTACCCCAGGTTCTGGAGGAAGTACCATTGGTTACAAGAAATTTAATGAGGTTTATGCACGATGGTGCACAAGAGCATTTTAGCATATTGGCTCGAGAGTTTATAACAGTAACATACGGAGATCACTGGATTGATCGACATGGACCTCACTTATGCCTGCTCGATCACCGGACCTAAACCCCTGGAGTTTTTGAAAGCGTTCGGGTGGCGATGAGATAATATTGGATTTTCGCATCTGAACGCGGGTAGTCATTTCCAACAGCTCCTGTAGATTAATAAACATTACATGTAATTTTTGGTAATAAATTGTTATTGTCAAAATTCTTTTTTGCTCCGTATCTTCGAAACAAAGCGCCCTATCATATCATCGAAGGACAAAATATTTTCAGAATATCATGTATAGTAACTTACTGGATCTACACCATAAACATAATATTCATTAAAATCGTATCAAACAATAACTTTCTCTTCAGAATTATCGATTATTCTATCAAATCATCATGCTCATTGAAAAATGAGATTTATGTGAAGGTATGACATTTTTCATACAACAATTTTAGTAGGGGAGCCCACGATGCAAAATGGGGATTGACTCGAGCGTCATAGAGTATATTAGGTTGCAAAGCTTAGATGATAAGAAGAAAAAAATGTTATATAATATATAACTTTTCATCGGTGTAAAAAAATACTGTTGTATGGACATACTCGAGCGCGTCAGATATTGATTGTATCAATGTCCTACGTATTTTTAATAACGTTCATATGTTAATCTGATTGTTTGCATGATGCGCGTCAGATTTTGTAAGGGGGTGTTAAGTGCAACAAAGAAAAGCTCCAATTCAATAATCTGACGATTTCGATGTGACGCAAATTCGCGGCCATTATTATAATGTGCAAAAAAAATCACTATTTTGAAATACTCAAGCGCGTCAGATTAAGATATATATGGTTCATCTTTATGTTCTAGACATGCTGTCTCATAATCTGACGATTATCTAGAGGAATCGCCTAATCTGACTAATTTTTAAAAATTTGTTTTAATCATTGAACTTAAATAATTGAAAAGCTCAGAAAATAGCATGCAAATAAATAAGTGTATGTTTTTTAAGCAGAATACTTCAAAAAACATATTTTTTTATAATCAATTGATTATATAATCATCATTTTCTTCTTCATCACGAACGAGTCTCAGTGATCAGCTGTGGTGGCGTCATGGCAACAGAATTCAGAGTGGAAACGGAGTGAGAGAGTAATAGATAGAGAAAAAGTGAAAGAGGAATAGAAACTCGGAGAGGGAAATATTGGTATCATACAGCTGCACGCATTAAACTTATTGTTATTTCGGCTTGCGAAAATCGTCATATTATATATTTTTCATTATCCTTGAATTATTTCCTTCAAAATGAAAAAAAAATTGCTACGCTCGAGAATGTCGAAATGACGTTATTTTTTGACAACTTTGCTGCCTCCCCTTTCTTTGCGTCACTTTCAAATTGTCAGATTACTGGAATATACACTATTCAGCATGACTAATCTGATCCTTTACCTTCACAGGCGGCCTTATATATGGGGCTCATATTTGGTGGAGGTACTCAACCGGGTACAAGGTATCACCCTGTATAATAATCTTCCGCGCTTCAGTAAATCCCGAAATCCCCGCTTGGGCTCCCCAATTATTTTTCCTGTTTTACTTCTTTTTATCAAAATATGTTTAATTCAATGTTTTACACTCATTTTTACTGTAAGTATGATTTTGTGATGATTTCTATGATTTCGAAAAAAAAATCCATAACTTAGAAAATTATAGGCTATGAAGGAGCTTCCTATTAGAAGCAAAAACTTGCCAGAGTAAAGCAGAGTTTTCAATTTGATTTTTGTCTGAGAGACCCCGTTAATCCATCTTCCTGCACTTCTCCAGTCGCTAAGGTATGTGTCGAATTATTGAAACTAATATTTCTTATATTCTCTCAACACGCAACATCCCATTGGTCCAAACTCAGAATTCGAACAAAGATAAAAATATCTTTTACCTCTATTATAACAGCAACTCTACAAAACGTTCAACCGCGGTAAAAGTCGTATAAACCGGTTACAAAATATCTAGTGGCGAACTATTTAAAGCCGAATCATCTAAAATCTAATTTTGGCACAAAGCAACCCCGCGGGGTGGCAATTCAGCGCGACGAATGCAGACGGAGGGTTGTATTGTCAAAAACATTGCATTCGGTACGCCCACCGAGAGAAAAGCGTTCCGACGTCGACCGCCACGACGCCGAACAACTGCACACTGCGGCCCGTCGTTCGATAGGCGAGGGTGATCAGCAAGGGGCATGCGCGGGCGAAATCACGTCTGTTGTCCCACCTCGATACGACACAGGAATTGGTTTTTTGTTGACTCATATCAAATATTCCCGAGCCATTTCATCACTGTTTGCAATGTGCGTAAGCGGCACACCGTTATTACTCATTAAAATGAGGGTAGGGGTTGGGGTGGCACACGGGATTACGCAGGACGTGGGTGTTCTTTTTTATCAAACAGAAATTGATTTCATCTCTTGGTTCGTACGGATACAATCAATTTCTTTACAAAGGAGTATGCACTGAACTTCATAAAGTTGTAGGGTTTTCAGTGTCATTGCTTTTCGAGTTTGAAAGCTGTGAATTTTTGGAATTTCTTCCTGACGTTTCGCTGGCGAGAGTGGCTAGCTCCTTCAGAGGTTTAACCATCATGGCTTGCTGTCCGATGACTACCTTTTAGGCTTCGTAAAGCGTATGTATGCCTTGTCAGGTAATCCGTTGTATCTGTACCTGTATTTGTACCTGTACTCGTACCTGCTCTTGTACCTGTAGTCGTACCTGCACTTGAACCTGGAACATTAACAATCTCGCTGCCTGTTGTCCTGTTCGTTATTCTCGAATTCCTTAAAATGGGGTTCCATATTCGATTGAGGTTCACCGCTTCTTCTTTTCTGTTGAAATGTGAACCAGAACATCTGGAGAGGGAACTGAAATACCTTGAAGGGACCTTGAGATCGAATGGATACAGTGCCTCCGAGACCAGAAAAGTCATGAAACCGAAAGGCACCACGTTCAGAAAGCGAAAAAGGATCAGATGGTTGCACGTGCATATCGTGCGCATACCGTTTATTCCTAGGGTCACGGACAGAATACACGGAAGATACAACAAAGTAAACAACACAAACAGAAAATAAGAAGCGGTGAACCTCAATCGAATATGGAACCCCATTTTAAGGAATTCAAGAATAACGAGCAGGACAACAGGCAGCTAGATTGTTAATATTCCAGGTTCAAGTGCAGGTACGACTACAGGTACAAAAGCAAGTACAAATACAGGTACAGAAACAACGGATTACCTGACAAGGCATAAGCTTCAAGAAGCCTAAAAGGTAGTCATCGGACAGCAAGCCATGGTGGTTAAACCTCTGAAGAAGCTAGCCACACACGCCAGCGAAACGTCAGGAAGAAATTCCAAAAATCCACGGCTTCCAAACTCGAAAAGCAATGACACTGAAAACCTCGGCCGCGAAATTCTAAACCATTTTGTCAAAATTTGGAGATTATATAACCAACTGGATGAAGGCAGGAAGCCTAAAACACACTTACTGGAAACATTGACATTTTTTTGCCGCTGTTGGGATGACAACATCATACTAGCTTTCTTGAAACTAAAACGGTCCTTCAAAGCAAATAGAATTTATACGAGAAATGAAAAAGCCTTTCTACGAGAACGTATCCATCATACACGGAGCCAGCTAGTGGAGACAGACAATGTCTTGTTGAAACTACATCTTGAACTTGGCAACCGGATGAAACCCGAAGACTGGGACAAACTTGATGGTATATCTTATTCAAAAGTGGATAAAGAACGGGAGAGAGTGAGCACAAAACACAAAGTGAAGTTCGAAAAACTACACGAGGCTGTATGTACAGTGGCTCCTCGTTTAGACGTGTCCAGAGTGGTCATAATACAAACGGACCGGGTTCTCACTGAAGATGAAACGTCAGTGTTAGCACGAGGCGGTAACCAGTGCCATGACGGGTTCCAAACGAGGAAATTATCGCTGATGCAGAATCGACAATCAGGAATATACCGGATAAAGAAGCGGAAGAAATCAGGATTGTGACAGCAAACATCCTGAGCAAGGAACGACCTCCTAAATGCAACATCCCTAAATGAGAGATTGCAGCCTTAAAAAGCTTGAACTCTGAAGAGAGCATCACGATACTTCCAGCAGACAAAGAAATTGCCACGGTGATTCTGAAAACGAAAGAATATAACAACAAAATTGAAGAACTACTAGACCCGGCAAACTATCGCAAACTTCAACGGAACCCAACGCAATCTAAAATAAGGAACGTGAAAAAAATGATCAGATATTTCTCACTGTCGAAAACCACACAGAAAGCCATTCTTAGAACTGAAGCTGTTCCACCTAGGCTCTACAGGCTTCCGAAAATACACAAAACCAACATGCCACTGAGACCGATAGTCAGTAACCTGGGCTCTCCGACCTACCACTTGGCGAGACATCTGGCTACGCTCCTACAACCCCATGTGGGAAAGTCCAACTCCTACGTCAAGGACTCGACAGACTTCGTTGGTAAAATTAGGGGATTAACGCTGGAGCCGACAAATATTCTGGTCAGCTTCGATGTGGTGTCCTTGTTTACCAATGTTCCACTGGAAGACTCTCTGAGGGGGTTAGCCCACGTGTTCCCGAATGACGTCGTCGAACTCTTTAGAGCTTGTCTCACAGGAAGTTACTTTCAATGGGAGGGAAACTTCTATGGGCAACTAGATGGCATTGCGATGGGGAGTCCACTTAGCTCAGTGATAGCAAATCATTTCATGGAACAGTATGAAGGGAAGGCGATAGACACTTTTGAATTGAAGCCGACCTTGTGGCTACGTTACGTGGATGACACCTTCGTCATCTAGAAACATGGAAGAAAAGCCCTTAACCGTTTCCTAAACAACTTGAACGCCCAACACCCGAGCATAGAATTCACCATGGAGATTCAGCAGGGCCAACGGATAGCTTTCCTAGATGTATTAGTAGAACGATGTGGTACCAGATTAACCCACAAAGTGTATCGAAAACCCACACACACAGATATATACTATCGAACCACCATCCTAGCCAAAAGAGAGGAGTCATCTCCACTCTAACGGAACGGGCTCGGAGAATATGTGAACCAGAACATCTGGAGAGGGAACTGAAATACCTTGAAGGGACCTTGAGATCGAATGGATACAGTGCCTCCGAGACTAGAAAATCCATGAAACCGAAGGGCACCACGGTTCAGAAAGCGAAAAACGATCAGATGGTTGCACGCGCATATCTACCGTTTATTCCTAGGGTCACGGACATAATTGGAAAACTATTGGGCAAACACGACATCAAAACAGTCTTCAAACCCACGAGGAAGATACAACAAAGCCTCAGGTCAGCTAAAGACAAAAGAGACCCATTATTAGCAGCAGGGGTCTATCGCATACCGTGCACTTGTGGAAAAGTATATATCGGAACCACCAAACGATCCATGGGAACAAGCCTTGAAGAGCATAAAAGGAACTGCCAAACGGACAAGTCAGCTGTGGTAGAAACATTTTATTCCATCATGGATTTTTATTTTGTATTATAAATTTTGGTTAGGAAATTAACTTTTCATAACTGCATTATCGGGCAGTCTATTCAGGGATCACGTCGGGGTCACCAATGTCGGGACTGGTGATAGGTGAATTAATAATCAGACGGACTCAGCGTTTACTAATCATAAAATTTATTAATGACACCAACAAAACGACAAACAGAAAATAACAGTGTAAACTCGTGGCGAGGAGAATCAGAGTTATGATCAGTTTCCGGCCGTAATCTCTGAATAGACTACACGATAATGCAACGTGGAACCGCCGAAGCTGCCTTCACTACCTGCAAGGACACCCTAGCCAGTGCAAGACTCCTTGCCCATCCGAAGCTTGGCGCCAAACTCAAGTCAAGTGTCAAGTCAAGTACACTCGTTAAAAATGGTGTTAATGCAAGCAAATATTCAAAGGTGATAGCATTCTTAAAGCGGAAAAATGAAAGTTTTAGGCCCAAAAATCAAAAACTCTCACGTTTCAACAAGTGCAGAGGTTTATGAATGAGGAGCCAGGTGAAAAATATCTGATGATAAAATTTGCTACTATTTTTGGAATATATAGAGCCCTCTACCATTGCCTCCCCTCTACCATTGCTGAGTTTCTGAAAGCCCAGGAACCAAAGGGATGTTCAGGTCACTGTTTCAGAAGGTCTTCTGTTTCTTGACTAGCAGAATCAGGAGCAAATATAACGGATATTAAGAAGCACGGAGGATGGAAGTCTATAACAGTAGCTGAGGGTTACATCGATCAATCTACTTCTTAGAAAAAGACTATTGATGAAAGAATAATCCCAACAGCATATGTATTACATTTGCAACAGAATTTAATTGTATAATTAATTGAATAATTATGTTTTATTTATCATTATTTGTTCGAAAAAATGTGTTGAAAATATTTTAACACGCTGTTAACACTCGTATTAATATTTTTAACACGCTACTTTGTGAACATCATCTTTTAATACTCTTGACAACCAATTAAAAGGTCAGTTTTAATGACAGTTGTTCAAAAAACATGTTGCAAGCAAGATTGAGAGTATTTACAAAAATATTATACAATTGGATATTAGATAATGCTGGAAAAATAGATAATTCATTTTATTTTACCTTATTTTGCCTTAATTCATAATAAAACAGTTTTGTTGATACATTTCACATTTTTTCAATGACAGAATTCTATTAACAATTGTCATAATTTTTATTTTTTAAATAACCCAGTTGAACACTAGTCTTCAACTTAGTAGACTGTTGAATACATGTATAATACTAACGATTATTTCAACATGTACTCGTACACACATTCATTTGATATTGTAGGTACACTTGCTAATACATTTGAATTTGAATTTGACAAAGAAATAAAATCGGATTATGTAATACCTTTTCTAAGTGACTATATTTCTGAAGTGAAAAAAAGAGTTGATAAGATAAGATAGTGTTTTTATATTTGCGTATCACAAGATATAACAGTGTATAATATATATCGGTGATCCACTAATGATGGAAAAAACACATAATCAAGTTTTTTGACAAATGGTTTCATTGGCACACCACGAAAGAAGTACGAAAGCTATGTAAGTAAAATACCGTTAT